TAGCCATCACTTGTGCGCAGTCTGGCAGTGTCACTGCTGGTGCTGGTGGCTGCTGCTGGGGCCCCTCCTCCTCCACTGGTTGTTGCTGTCGCAGCCTGATCTCCACCGCGTGTGCTGCCGCCAGCCAGGCCGGGCTGATGTCGCTGTGCAGGGCTCCAAGAGCTGCAAGGGCGGCATCCTTGTCCTGCAGCTGGGCGGGGTCTGTGGCTGGGTCGAGGTGCTCACGGGCCCACGAATGCCAGGCTGCTCCCTGGAGGGTGGTGGCTTGGCTAGTGTTTACCGCTTCCCACACCCGTACCAGGTCCCCCACCGTGCGCAGTTTCCTGCATGGTGTGAGTGCTGCGTGGTATGCTTCCAGGCCTGGTCAACGGCTGGGGCCCTCGGTGCTTGCAGCATTGGGCAGCAGTGGGTTGCCCCACAGCGCCGCCGCCCAGCACCAATCACCGGGTTCCAGAGGGGTTCTGCCGATGTCTTCCAAAGGCGGTAAGTGACCCAGTGCCCCCACGATCCGGCTGATGTCTGCGGGAAGGTCGCTGCTGCCGAGCCACGGTCCCGTGGCCCGGGCGGTTGTCAGAGCCCAAGGCTGGAGTGCAGGGTGGGTGAGTTCCAGGTAGGCGGACAGCGTGCGTACCCACGGGTGTAGGCCCCGGGCCTCACTGTTGGTTGCCGCTGCCACCTCCTCGTCTCCGCCTGCTCCCCCGGTTACTTCCCCTCCCGCACCCCTACCTTCACAACCTGCCGCCGGTAGTGCCTGTGCAATGAATCGCACGGCCCAGACTGCGTGGCGAGCATGGATGTGCTGTCGGAGCGGCAGCAGGCCGAAACCCCCGGTTGACGGATGGCCTACTAAAAGGCTGCCGGGTACACCTGTGAGACGCTGGCCTGGGTCTTCTGGGCCCTGTTGCCGGTCGACCAGGCGGGCCGTCAGTCGCTCGATGTGGTCCAGATTGCTGTCTGGAGGGGGTCCGCCATGTTCCATGTGCCAGGTGACCGTCTGCAGGCCGTAGGCGGACGTGGCGGTGGCCCTGCCGAAGGCTGACAGTGGGAAGCGGGCGAGCCGCTGCATCCGCTTGTAGGCGCCTGCCAGCATCTTGGGCCATTCGGGTTGCGGGGGTGTGGGTCGGTTGTCTACCGGCAAGTTCAGGGCTGTGGCGGTGGTGACCACTTTGAGTCCACCAATTGTCTCCTGCTGCGGCTGTTGGTGTAGTGGCTGCTGCAGCTGTTGCCTACCCGC